GGGGGGGGGTGCTAACAACAAAAGCTCCTAAAGGCCTGGGAAGCTTTCAACCCACCTCCTAAAAACTGATCTCTGGGCACAGGAGGAATAAAGAAAGGTCCAGAAGGAGTGAATAAAATTATCTAAGGCTGGACAGGCATTAAAAGGCCTTTATCCTGGAAAAAAACCATGCCTTTTAAGGTCTTTTTCTGCATGGACCACAATATCCCGTGTGACACGTGAGTGTTCCTGCAGCAATACAATTGAAATATTTTCTTGTGGAAAAAAAGAAGAGATAAATGATTTATGAACAGCCCTTGAGGAGTCCCAAATATCAGAACAATCTAAACAAGCAATGAAGTCATGTCTCACCATATAGGGTCAGGAGGACAGCATCCATCACCTTCACAGGCCAACAATACCTCACAACCTTTAGGGTTCTCGCTCACAAATAGTAGTAAATACTTTTAAACTAAATAAATAACTGCTGTCAAGTTCACTTACAGAAGCAGGATGCCATCTTTTCCAGGGCTATTTTAACTAGGATATCCATTCCCATAGCCACTGTGCTGGTATCCCACTCCTACCGGCGCCACCCCCCCCCCCCCCCCCCCCCCCCCCCCGCCTTTCACAATCCAGGTAAAAACAATTCATAACAAAGTTGGTTTTTATATCTGAATTCAGAGTGGCTCCTTTCATCCTGTTCCTTCTGGCTGACCTTCTGATAATCAGAATTAAGTCCATTAATATGGACATTGTGCTGCCTGCTCCTCACCTAGCCCTCCCCATTTCTAAATCCTCAGGATTTTCCTCTAAATTTTTCTCTCAAGTCTAGTAAGTGGATATTTGCCTCGTGTAATTATGGGGGAAAATTTCCCCCACAGAATACTCTTGCTACAGAATGGCCAACACCGGATGGGCTTACCCCCATTTACATTGGGAAGTAAAATAGCTTATTTTCCCATTTGTTCTCGTTTGCATCCTTTGCCCACCATTGGAATAAGAGAGCTTAATAACATAGCTTTGTCTCTGCAAAGAGGAGATTCGATTTTGTATAATAACTAATGTATACTGGTTTAAATGAGGGTCATTGGGCAGAATACATTAGTCTAGCGTCTATTTTTGAACTTAACGATACATATTTTTTTATTCAGCATTCAAAAGCATGGAAGCGCCTACATAAGGTAGCAAAGTTCTATTCCGTCCTTACGTTAGGTCAAATAAGCCACCCCTTGCATGAGTCTCAGCAAAATTTTATACATGTACTGGAGCTACATGGCTGGCAGAAAAACAGACAGTTACTTCAAAACCACAAAGAAGTGGGAGCCCAAAGAATTCCTTTCGGCAATTCAATAAACAAGAGGAAAGATGTACTGTTTGCTGGCTCAAAATAGACACTAATTTTACATCTGTCTCTGAGGCACAGCAAAAAGCCAACTAAAGAGCAGTAATAAATGTCCAAAAACAGCATCAGTATCCAAAACTCTCCTAGTAATCTTCAGAGGAATTAATTACAATTCTGTGTAACAGTTGCATTGGCAAAACGCACCCATAATTATATACAGGTACTGTACTGTATTGCAGGGAAATTTGCCATGTGATACCATGTTTACATGATAATTGATGGATAAGATAAAACTATTTGCATATGAAGTGCATATGAATTATTGGCATGGCTCACCATTTTATGTGGAATCATATTAAAGTTTCATTTTCTCTAAAACTGTATGTGTAATATGGGGTTACCAAAGGGTATAAAGCTGATACTTAAATTTGCTTTATAGCAAATGGGCCTGGAAAGATATATCTGAATATGTATTACTAAAAACCTATATTTAAAAGGCTTCCTAGTTTATCTATAATAAGCATTATTTTCACTTCACCAGATTGCATCATATTAAATCCTCTCTATTCTTCCTCCTAAGTAAACAATACTCTAAATTGTATCACTATACCAATTAATTTTACAATCATATGCAAAACAAATAATGGCTTCTCTTTATTGTCTATTGATACAACTTTTTTTCTTTCAGATTTTCGTATTCTGGTGACATGTAACAGAATAGTAGCAGAACGTGACATTTTTATAATGTCCATACCTGCTGGAAAATTTCAGCATTTGCAAAAATGGCCTATCATAGCATTTAAACATTGCTGATAATTAGCTTGACATTTGAAATACCAGAACTGTTGTTTTGAAGATGCCCTATACAATGTTACCTAACTAACCCCTTTTCATACTTATATGCTTTCTCTACATTATTCTGTCAGTTACAGTACAAACAAGATATCAGTTGCTAATGTATTAACATGAAAAAGAACTGATGTTAAGGGGCGATACTTCATCTTCACCAGAAGCAGAAGTTTTTTTTGATGTAAAGGAAAATTACATATGCAGACTGTAGACAGTTAGTTGTTAATAAGGCGGTCAATAATGATTTTCTAGAACCCCATTCAAGCTAAGTGTGCCAATAAGTCTTTCAACGCCATCGTCAAACATTAATTAAATACCTACAATGTGGTAAGTCCAGATGGATGTGCTATTCTCACCTCAGGAAGCTTACTACCTATTTGGAGAATTAGAATCATAACACCGTAGTGCTAGAAAGACAAGGGAAGTCAACCCTCCACATGTGATAAGGGAGGTCAGATAGGTCCAGTGAGGTCCAGTGACTTATCTAAGGCCCTGCAGCCAGACGGTGGCAAAGCCAGTGCTAGAAAGCACGTCTTCAAGCATACAACAGCCGCACAAAAATATACATAATACGACAAATTCCCAATGAAGAATCCAATCTAAATGTAAATGCCACATGATCAGAGTAAGGAGATGAAAATTCCTGGGACTTTTGGGGATTTTCATGATGTACAATGGGGATCGTTGCTTAGTTTTGAATTGTTTTGATGATTGTTACTTTCGTGGATCCCCTTCATTTGAGTTACAGAAGCCTATCAATTCGATCAACCAGAATCTAACAATACACCCATATTTCCCACAATAATTTGGGAATGATAGAAATAAAGAGGTAGTTCCCAGAATTATGAGCTTGAAGACCCGTCTTCTCGTCCTAGTCCCACTATGTAATCAGCTGCGTGGCCTTGGCCTGTCATCCGAGGAAACCTGGTACAAATGGGTAAAAATAATGATAATAGGTTCCCTGTCCATGAAGTTGCCACAGGAGCCTACTGACTTTTACACGTGATGGCAACTTTGCGAGGTATAAAACACTGATCACTGCTGAAGTAGTAACCAAGATGGGACCATTGCTCCAGTGTCCTCTTTTGTCTGTTCTTGCAATGTGTGATAGCTATAGGCGAAAAGAGAAGATCTGAGTACAGGCCAGTCACAATATTGGTGTTGGCCCTTCATTCAAAAATCGATTTGCAGAAGCATCCTCGAGTAGCAGCTCCGTGATGGGAAAGAGTATGCTGGATCCTTCGGCCAATACTTGATATGGACACGTAACCTTACTTTAAAAACGTCTCTTCTGATGATAGGGCTTCAAGTTTAAAAGAAACCCTTTGGAATTTTATGAGTCATTTGGTTTCCTGAATCTCTTAGATGCTTGGAGATCATTTATATTTGAGCCAATGGATTAATGGCCTAGTTGCTTTCTTGAAATACCCTTATGTGTGGTTAAGTGTTGGCAGACATTTTAAGACTCTTCTCTTGAATGCTAGTAGCACTCTATCCCTCCCTTTCTTCCCAAAGTTCAATTTCCAGGTACTATGCTCCTGAAGACAAGGATGTGGCAATTTTTCCAGAATTTTTATCCAGTGATTCATTTTTCCAGGGAGGATTTCTCATCGATACCCCTTCTTGATCACAGTTAACTTGCTACCTCTGTATGTGGACGGATAAAGATCATAGGACTAAATTCAAGGGTCAATATCTCATTTGATAATGGGAGGGGAGGGTGTCTCATGACAGATAAAACAAAACAAAGCAAGTTCAAACAGAAATGTTCTTCTGAATTTGAATACGTGTCACTGAAATGCATGAGCCTTAATTTCCTGCTTTAAAAATGGGAATAACTTTATCACTCAGGGAGGCAAGATTAATTAATGCTAGAGAGAAGGGATCATCCTAGTTTGAGATATCCCCACGGAACATGCTCTCCAGCACAAAACACTGTTACAAAAGAACAGCTATGAACATACCATAGGCAGCCTTTATACAAACTAGCTTGGTCACTTTAATTTTTTATCCCAGGAACATTCAAAGGCATTAAACCCGCATTATAAATTAATGAGTTGTAAAATGTCAGCTGATAAAACAAAAGCAGTTTTGAATGTAGGGATAAAAATGTTTCCATTTGAGATTAGCTATGTAAAAAATATGCATATTGAGTGAAATGAGAAAGAATTTCCGCAATCCCACGGTTCCAATGTGGAGGGGCCAGTTCTGACATTCTTTCAACTTCCTATTATGGGAACACCTTGGGAAGATGGCAGCCACCCGTCCCCTCTGGAAATGCAGTCAGCTTCCCTGTACCTGGAGGAATCTTCCAGTTGCAGTGTGGCAGTGATTAAAAAAAGGTTAACATTTCCATAAATTTGCTGGGGCTCTGGATAAGCTCCCACAGGCAGGTAATAACGTCTTAGTTATGTACCTTTATTCCTGAAAACCTCTTCCTTAATAAAGGAAATATAAAAATAATGGCAAATGAAAATAAAAGTAAGGATCCTCCTTTCCCCCAGACTACCATGAAAATACATATTAGTCAGAGAATTCACAACAGTAAATTCACTTGTCTTTCAAGAACACACCATAATCCTAGGTCGCAATGTTTTCAGTGAAATGTAGGCCCACCCAAAGACTTAATAGCTCTTTATTTATTTCTCTACAAAAGTAGACATATTAGGGTTTTCCTCTATATCTACAAGTCGTAACGGTTTCGATCACCTTACTTAACTCCTACCAAAGGAGGATTTGTATTGATCATTGTATTGATGTTCAAACACACATGTCCCTGGCCTCTCCTTTCATTGAGTTTTTGTAGTTGTAGTTTCTGTCCCTTAGAAATTTCCTCCACTTCACCTGCCGTCCACATCTACAATATGCTTACACTCTAAGGATATAGTATTTAGCTAAACTGTATTCCAGAGCACAAGTCAATAATTCCCTCTGATGGCCAAAGAAATCTAATAACACCTTCACCAGCGAGCCCAGTGTGATGGCACACTGAGGGAAGGTCCCCTATACACAAATATTTTTGTCTGTATTGCACATCTACTTGCCAACAATTCCACAATGTCTCTCAACAATATGTCACAAGGAGAGAAAAGATTTTGGAAGACTCTTTAATTACTGGAATCTATGATCATTCAGCAACTTGCTTTATACCAACCATCAAGAAGAAAGTATTAAGAAACGATACAGAAGAATATGCTTATTATCATGCCTGAAGGATATTCAAGAGGAATGTGAAAATAACCGTAATTTATTTAGGGCCCAGAAGTATGAAATAATAAGCTTCTGAGCCATCAAAATTGTTTTGGAATTTTTTTATCTGACATGAGGGCAGACCTTGTCTAGCTTTAAGTTTTATAGTAATAAGACCTTGGAAATAAAACCTTGAATAAACTGAATATAAAGAAAGGGGAAATGTGTCCTTGTGTAAATAGATATTGTGTCTATCACCTTCCTCTGAAAAGGTTACACAACTTTCAAAGCCCATAAAAGGTGTAAAGTCAGTAACTGCCAGGGTACGTTGGAATGTTTTGTAAAAAATAAACGTGAAGCAGAAAAACTGTAACAATTTTCTCTGATTGTTTTATGGTTGCCCCACCCCTAAACCTCATCTGTAACTGCATGCTTTTTCTAAGACGTAGATACTAACTGAAATATACTTTTAGCTCTTGTAGTCCTACAGAATTAAACCTCCACTCTCCCCAAACCTTCACAGGAACCCTTACCTTCTTCTGAAGTAGCAAAATCTTGTCCCTTAAAGAAGTATTTTTCCTGCCAAAGTCTTTCCATGCTTCCATGGAAAAGGAGACTGTAGTTCTAGCCTATCCATAAAAATAATTGCTTTCAAATATTTGTCAGTCCAACAGACTTACTTGGTAATTTTTATGGTTTCTGCAGTTGGTAGATGTCAATAATAATCCTTGGGTCTAAGTAACATGAAGGTACTGCATGTTACTTACATGAAGGTACTGCAAAGCTTCTAGCCCATCAGCTGAAATAATGGGAAAGAACAGCTTTTTTGGAGGAGAACAATCCTCTTTAAGGCAGCAAGGGGTGTGGACCACCTTACTAGATGTGAGTGGGTGGGGAGAAAGGAAATCGTGGAGAGGGAAATGAAGAGTCACAGGTTTTTAAGACAGGGGTGGCCCCATATAAGGCTGCTGGAGAAGATCCTGGGGGCGGTGGAGATTTCCGCAGTCGCTTTCTTCTGATCACTACGGCCTAAAGTATTGGTCATTACAAACTTGATCACATGCAAAAACGTTCTGATCGTGGTGAATCCTGCCTCTCACTCCACAGAGACGCCGTAAAGGGGGATCCTGCAATGGAGTCCATTCATGTCTGAAACCTTAGTTTTTATAAGACATCTGATACCTGAGAAAGCCATCTAACCTCCATTTCTCTCACCCAAAGGATTTCTCTTAAGGATTAGCAGTAGATTCAGATCCGTTGGCCTAGTGAAATTATTTACTCTGTAGTAGCTTTAAAACTGCAGCCACCCCTACTAACAACATAGCAACACCCTTGCTAGGAGCCTGTTTTCAAAATAGCGGCATTGCACCTCACAATTGACAAAACCAGACAACGGTGAAAGGGACAGTGACATGGCAGACACAAAAGCTCAACACATTATGGCCACTCTAAACAGAGTACAAAAGGAAGGGAGTCAGTGATGTGTAAACCAAACAATGTGAGGGGAAAAATATTGAATAATTTCTGTCATGAGGCACTGACTAAAGCCAGGCTCTAATTGAATTAAACTCCCATTTATTTGCTCAGGCCTAAACAACAGGCTGGGAGGAAGAAAAAAAAAAAAAAAAAAAAAAAAAAAAAAAAAAAAAAAAAAAACTTAAGGTTTGCTCAACTGTTCTGAGGTACCACCTTTCCTCACCCCTGTATAAATCCACCATCTGTGCTCACAGGCACACATGGTCCCTCTCTCAACAAATGCACGGAGACCCTACCAAGCACAGAAGCCAAAAAAGCACGAGGCACACAAAAGCTCCCCAGGCTGCCCCAGGTCTAAAGGAGCAAAAGGGGGAGAAAAGATCTTTTGCTCATTGCCCAGGTGAGACGGCCTGGTGCGTCCTCTCAGCCTCGACACGCGTCAAGTAAAAGAAAGGTTAAAATTAGAAAATTCAATTTATTTGATAATTTCCCAGAATAATTAGAGTTAATATGGGTTAATTAATATGCAAATCTCTCAGCAGATGTTCTGCAGCAGGGCCTGTGTGAGAAAACAGCCTTTGCTTTCTCCTACGTGATTTTGGCTGTCAGTTATTGGGTATAATTACTGTAACTAACCGAATACACACAAAACCTTTGGAATATAAAATTGTTACAGTTCTAGCTCTGCACAAGCTGCTACTTTTCTGCAATAAAAGCGAACAATTTCTTTCAGAAAATAGGAGCCTTTTTGTTCCTTTCTTGATTTAAAAAGAAGAAATGAATCAAGTAAATGGCTTATCTTTTTCTATGCATAATTAGGTCAGTATTATATGAACATTCCAATGAGCAGTGGTACAAACGTACATATAAAATGATAGCTCAAACCACCTGCAAAATCACATAAAATTGTTTTATTCAGAATCTTTTTTTTTTCTTCCCCACCAGAACTTTGAAATGCTGAATGTCTTTCTTTCCAACATTGCCCACATTTTCTAAATTCAAAAGGATCCTACAACTTTATTAATTTTTTTTCTCTTCAAAGACACAAAAGAATAAAGTGGGTGAATGTTTTTAAAGGTACATGAAAAAGTGGGCTCTTTTGTAAAAGAACTCCACGCAGAGTTTGAAAGTTAAAAATGTTTGCACTTTGAATGGCTGTATATTTATACGTTTGGACGGCTCACCAGCCTATGAAAGGTACCAGGGTTCAGACTGGCCGAGACTCACACTCAGGGAAGAGATGGAGCTTTGCATATATCAAACTCAGGAAGACTTTTAAATGTTGTAACAATTTACTTAGGAGGGGCTGATGTGTTTTTACGCTTCGTACAATTAAGCTACTAATTAATTGAAGATTGTTTTATTCTCATGTATTGGTAACCTTCTAAAAGGGAGCAGCAATTTTAGGCCTCCTGAATAAATTTAGATCATTTGCCAAATACCTAA